ATATAGGAAAAGAAATTCCAGTAATTTCTCAATGCTTAGGAAAAAGTATCAACCTACCTTATCAGGAGTTTCCTCACCTGAGAGTTCTGTATAACAATGAAATTAGAGGTACACTCCCAATTTTTCTCTCTATCCCTAAGTATGAGTAATCCTATAATTTATCCTCAGAGCTCCTGTTATGCTAAATGCAAGTGGAAGAATACAGACATTCCACACATTGTAAGTCATATGGAAGCATAAGTTTGTAGCTGGATGGGACCATTGAAGTCATGTAATGCAGGGCATTCCTTGGTGTTACGTGGCCTGAGGGTAGATGCAGTGCAAAGTGTGCATGTTTTGTGTTCAGAACCAAGGCTGCAGTGAAGTTGCCTGATGAAACACAGGCAAGTGCTGCCAGAAACACTTCTGATTCATTATACTTTTGTTTTGAATTAATTTTTGGTCATTGCGTGTTCAGAAACCTTTTACTATTGCCAAATTTTTTGCTACCTCGTATGGGGTTGTGACCCACAGTTTAAGAAGCACTGATCTAATGCGACCCTTTCTGGGAACTAAGACCCATAGAGATTAAGTGACTTGCCCAAGGACACACTAGTAGTAAGTGACAAAGTCAAGATCTGGAGTCAGTTCTTCCCATTCCAAATTGAGCATTCTTTCCATTGTACCAAATGAATATAAACTACTGCTCCCTCCAAGTCTTGCATACACAGAGCAGCGCTTTCATTTTATAACTTTTGAAACTGCAGAGAACTCTAAATACCTAAAGATATCTGTATCTTTAACATGCCATAAAACTCTACTGACTTTAGAGGCCTGAGACACTAGGTTCAAATCCCACCTGAGACACTAGTTATATGACTCAAGGGAGGTCATTTAACCTCTCTGTGCCTTAGTTTCCTCCTCTGTAAAATGGGGATAATTAAACCTGTCATTGTGAAGCTCTAACTTGAAGAGGTTTGGAAGTATGAAGTCACCATTTAAGTGTTAGAGATTACCCTGTATTGTATTGTTCACAGAAAGGAGGAAAGCTTTCTACTTTAACATTTTCATTTTGTTTGCATATGTCAATCATAATTTTCTGCTGCTTTAGGTGACAGATTCACTTATGTAACTGTGACAGACCATTTATAATATGAAACTCCTGAAATTTATGAGATCACTGATACATTTGAGTATTTGAGTATAGTATGTAATATATTTTGGAGAGAATTAATAAAATATCTACTGCATACAATTACAACTGATTTATCATGTAGATTATTAATTAAACAAAAGCCTGTCTTGTGTGACAAGTCACTAATCTGGGGGCTCTCATTATATCAATATTAGCAAATATGAGGAGACACTGAGATGTGATTAACAGTGGTGATTTGTTTACCTAACATCATAGTAGCCAATTCCCAAAGGAAAGCTAGACCTTTAGCTGTATTTGATCTTGTAAATAAAAGAATCATTAGCATCAGATAGAGAAGAATCTTTTAAACAGCTAGTACAGAAAAGTTTGCTGATCAAAGAATTCTCAGTTGTAACTCTTAGGAGAGTCCTAGTCTGAAAAATGTTTGCTTGTTTTATAAGAATGAAGAAAAATATTTTAAATCTTTAAATGAGCATTTAGAAAATTCTCCTCCAGCATGTATTTCCTAGTTGATCATGAGAACAGGGAAAGAAAATCATTGCTCTACATAAAATTTATGCTTCTGCAACATCCTTTGAATGCATCCAAAACTGGGTTATAGGTATTCTAAGTGCCTCAAAATGTGCATTATTGATAATCATCTGTCAGGCTAAATAGTTTGATCACATTATGCTAGCTAGACCCTTGAGTTGAATAGAACGTGGTCACCTTAAAAGTAATATTCCCAAAAGATTGTGGGTCATTCTGACCCAGGAACATATATTAACTGTTCTAGAAGCTAGCAAGTTATCATTTAGATGTATGGACCCATGACACTCAGTTGATTTTGCTGTGCCCGACAGCACTTCTAATATTTCAGTAGATGTTGGAAAATTATAAAAAACTAAGAAGAACCCTGTAAAATAAAGATTTTTCACTTCATATTTGAAAGAGAACTTTTATTTTTTTCTTCTTTGATCTTTTTTTCTTCTTTTTTATTAATTTATTTATTTTTAATTTTCAACATTCACTTCCACAAGATTCTGAGTTCCAAATTTTCTCCCCATCTCATGCCTCTCCCCACCCCAAGATGACATGCATTCTGAATACCCCTTCCCCTAATCTGCCCTCCCTTTTATCTCTCCCCCACTTCTCTTATCCCCTTTCCCTTCAATTTTCCTATAGGGCAGGATAGATTTCTATACCTCATTTCCTGTATATCTTATGAAAGAAAACTTTTAGAAGGATAGCATTTGTCAGGAGTCAAGCCTCCAAAGGTTGCCAGTAACTTGTAGATGAAAGGATTAGGGACTTATGTGGCTAGTCTTTTTCTTTCACTGTAATCATGTAATTTTTATTTAAGCCTTAATATCAGGCCTTCAATTAGTCAGTTAATTTACTAATCCTTTATATGTCAGTGGAATGGCATGGATTGGTAGCTAGAGGGCTGGAAGCACAATCAGGAACAACTCAGTTTGCATCCCACTTCTGATATTCACAAGCTATGTGACTATAGGTAAATCACTTAATCACCTCAACCTTCAAGCAGCTTTCTAAGGCTATAAATTATAGGCCAGCTTTAATCTGCCTTTAGAGAGAGAAATGGGAAGTCTTTGGTGAATTAACACATGGGAGTCAGCAATTCATATGACAACACTCTAAGAAAAACATTTATTTGGAAATGGATCTAAAAATACACAAAAAATAAATTAGAAGTCAGCATGATTCAGTTGACAGGGGATCAGGGGGTTCTACATAAATCAGAATTCTCCTACTGTGGGAGTAGATGCCATGTATATCATACCTGTTCTTTCTCCATGATCCATATCTCCAATGTCATCTATGTGAAGAATACCTATGGTGAGAATGCTCCCAACCAACGCATGTCATAGGATCCTACAATCACAGATTTAGAGCTGGAAAAGACTTCAGAAGCTATAGAGTTGAGCCTTTTCATTTTCTAAATGAGAAAACTGAGGCCCATGGAAGTTAGGTGATTTGCCCAAGGTCGCACACGTATTAAACACCAGAGATGAGACTGGAATTCAAATCCTCCGACTTGAGATCTAGTGCTCTTTTTATTGTACCAGGTTGTCAGATCTCCTGGAACTTGTAGCCTTAGAGAGTTGCCTGGGACAATGAGAGGTTAAGTGATTGGTTAAGTGATTGGTCAGCTAACAAGTGTCTTAGGTAGGACTTGAATCCAAGAGTTTCAGACTCTACCACTGAATCTCTACTAAAATACTAATGTATTTCTACGTATCTAAACTTTCCAAAAACATTTTATATACTCTATCTCCTTTGTATACATGATCTTATTCAGAGTCAGCTAGTGCTGTACAAGATAGAATGCTAGACTTGGAGTCAAGAAGACTTGAGTTCAAATCCTGCTTCAGATCATCATTAACCGTATGACCTTGAACAAATCACTTAACTTCTGTTTGCCTCATCTGTAAATTGAGATGATAATAGCCCCTATTTCCCAAACCTTAAAGCACTATATATATATGCGCACTATTTATTATTAGTATTACTATCATTACCTCATTATAACTCTGAGGTAGGTAGTAATAATTCTCATTGTGTTCCATTTTACAGATGAGGAAACTAAGACTGAGAAAGATTAAATTACTTGCTCATAGTCACACAACTTTAGGTGCCAGAGGTTGGAGCTGAACTCGCACCCTCCCCAATCCCAAATTTAGGACTCTCTCCATTATAGCTTACTACCTCTCATTGTTTATATTTATATAGGACTCATTTTAGGAAACTTTTTACATACCTAGTGTGATTTTTATCCCTGTGATAACTCTATGAACTGGTTAATACTTATTTAATTTCTTTAGTAATTTAATTTTTACAAAGTGCTTTCCTGGAAGCAGCCCTTTGAGAGAAATGGGTCATGGAACATCACTTAAGCTCTGTGGACCTCAGTTTCTTCATCTATAAAATGATGATAATAAAACTTTTGATGTCTGCTTCACAGGGTTGTTGTGTGAATCAGTTGAGAAAAAATACATAAAGAACTAAATAAGACTTAAAGCTCTCTGGATACGTCACCTATTAATAACTAAAATTGGTATAGCACCTACTATGTGCTGGCAGCGTGCTAGGTAAGCACTTTACAAATATTATCTCCTTTTATCTTCCCAACAACCTTAGGTAGTAGGTCCTATTATCCCCACTTTACAGATGAGGAAACTGAGTTATGATTTTCCCCTGGTCACACAGCTTGTAGGTGTCTAAGACAGGATTTGAACTTAGGTTTTACTAACTCCAGGCCCAACTCTCTACCCACTCACTGAGCCCCCTTTTCATGCTTTCCTGTTTTATACCATAGGGAATCCAGGGTCAAAGGAGTGATTTGCCCATATCTAAGAACTACTAAGTAGCAGAGTCAGGACTGAGTCAAAAATTTTTTACTACAATTCCAGCGTCCTTTCTACTCTGCCTTTGCAATATGCTTAGTAAATGTTTGTTGGTTGCTGACTATACTGTAATTCCTAATCTACATCGAAAATATAGCTGCCTATAAATTAGGAGATACTTGTTTTGACCAGACCATCTTGGATGACAAATACTCTGCATCATTAAGAATGAGATCATTGACTCTCAAGAACTAAGCCAAGACTTGTAATGCTTTTTGTTTGTTTCATTTTCATTTTTGTTTTCCCCTTACCAAAAGAAACAGATGTTTTTCTTTTATGTGAAATAGAAAGCTGTCAACTCCTGCTTGAACCATTCTGTCTCACCGCTTAACATTGCTCTGTTGTCATGACTTAAACTACATGAACTAAATGGTGAAAACTTCTATGTCGATTGTGCTTTTGCCCCCTTTCAGATATTTAAGGATGATAAGTCAACAGAATTCTGTTTTTTTTTTGAGGTTGCTTCAGTGAACATTCAACGCTGTCGGTGAGTTTGGAATTAAAATGAAAACCATCGACCGTTGATTGTACCCTACAGCTAACCACCATCGTCCTCCTTCCAGGACTTTCACTACAGACAGAAAACCAAACCAGGACACTCAAGGACTCCTCCAGTCTCTTATCCTGCCCAGCTTTATTTTCCAAAGGTCACAATCAACATTCATTGCTGTCGGTGGGTTTAACTGTGTGGACAAGCTCACTGAACAATGAATGCAACTGTGGCCCCACTTTATTGCAGACTCAGAAAAAAGGAATATCATCTATGAAAGCCTTCCTGGAACACAGAAATCTTTATTTTTTTTTTTGCCCTCAGCAGACCTTTTCTAATCAGAAGACTGGCAGACACTTTTAGGATTTTGAAGTTCAGTTTGTATCAGATGTTTGTTACAAAAGCCCAGGTTGTAATAGGGACAGTAATCTCTCTGCTCTTCTCTGCAATATAAAAAGGGTAACCCTACCCCCTTTAAGGGAGAGGAATTTCCTGTCACTTTCTAGATTAGGAAATCACTCACATTCATATCATTACAGAATTTGGTGAGAAGGATATAACTAAAACACATCTACTGCAATGTTGAAAAACAAAATTATTACATTGGGGTAACTCACAATTCTTGTGTCGTATTATGATTTCATTTTATACTATAAGAAACAATGCAAAGAATACCAGCGACTCTATTGAACCTAGTTAGGAAGAGCATTATAACCACCTCATAAAATCACTCCTCTCCGTATCCTTCCTATGATTTGCCAGTCTGTAACCAATTTGGCATTCTTCTTTTGTTGCTTTCATTTGGTGACTTGCATGTAACATACCAGTTACAAGAAGTAGAGAAATCATATAAATAGTACATTCCTTTAAGCTATTATAACCCACCTGACATGTGTACCATGAGATTCTTTTCCCTAATTAAAACTAACTTGAACACTTATTTCTTCAATTGCACTTTTGTTTAGCCTTCTAGGTTCCTTTTCTTTTTTCTGTTGAATTATAATAATGTTCTACTAATTCTGTCAAAAGGCTCACCTGTTTGAACAAAAATAAAAACATTGTTGTTTCCAGTCATGTACCTCATTCATTCATTCATTCATTTACAAGCATTTACTAAATGTTTACTATTCGCAAAGGACTGAGTTAGATGTTGGAAAAGAGATTCAGCATAATATAATCCTTGCAGTGCTGGACTTGGGGTGAAGAAGACCTGGATTCAAATTCCACCTCTGATAATTACTAGCTATGTGAATATTGACAAGGGGCCTCTGAGATCATGTGCACCTCTAAATCTATGATCCTAAGAATTAGAAATGGTGGTCCCCTTCAAGGGCCTTAACATATAGTAGCAAATTTCTAATGAACTCCTATTATATGTAAGTACTTAGAGAGATACAGAAATAACTAAGACAGAGTCTCTGCCCCAAGGAGTTTATAATATAGAAATGAATAAAATACTTATGAGTAAAATTAAATATGCATGCTATTTATTGTGAATTGGCATACACATACAGAAAAACAACAATACTAACTTTGATTGCTATGTTTCTGTTGAGTATCACAAACCAAAGAAAGATATTAAATGGTTAAGTTATCAAGCTTTATCTCTTGAGAGGTAAAGGTCATGGCAGGTAGAGTTGTATCCCATAATCACCGTTAAAAGCATTTATTAAGTATCCAATTGTGAGTTTAAAGGGGGTACATATTGATAGCAAATGTGAATACCCTTCAAAAGTTCACCAGCTACAAATTGCAATCCATCCATCCATCCATTCATTCATTAGATCAGCACCTATTGAGCGCCGCAGTATACAGATTTGGTAGATCCACTCTAGAAGTGTAATAAGACACAAGCAGATAATCATAATGTTCAATTATATGATTAATTTATTAGAGAATTAAAAAAAGTTCCAAGTGAAGTCTAGGAGTGAGAGAAATCAAGAAAGTTTTCACATGAGATCCATAAATGTTACTAGAGTCTTAAAGTGTCAGATAGCAACTTGTAGCCTACATTAAGGAATTGCCTCTTAGACAAATGTTTTACCAAAAAAAGAAAAGAAAACTAAATGCAGTTGTTACATACTGGATTCAGAAAAGCCTTTGGCATTTTCATTGGCATTATACGTTAGAGGTAGGGTAGTGTCACTATATTGATGCTAGATTGAGGGTGGATTCTTGATTAGATTTAGCCGTATCGTAGCTCAGAACTCCTATGCTCAAGCAATCCACCATCCCCAACCTCTTCAATATCAAGGATTACAGGTATAGACCATCACATCTAATCTGAGAGAAAAGGTTGGGAGACCAATTGCATGTAGTATAAGTGAGAAGTGAAAAGGACCCAAGAGGATGGTGACTGTGGAAATAAGGAAACTGTGGAAATAAGGAAAAGGAGATGTATGTAAAATATTGTGGAGGTAAAAATGATGACTTTTGACAACTGACTGGATTTGTGAGGAGAACAGCAAATGTGATCAATCAATATTTTCAAAGAGTTTGGCTGAGAAAGGGAAAATGTCCTGCTGTGTATGGGCTCATCTAGGTCAACTTATAAATTCCATTTTTTTTTTTTGGCAAGGCAATTGGAGTTAAGTGACTTGCCCAGGGTCACGCAGCTAGTAACTGTCAAGTGTCTGGTCTGAGACTGGATTTGAACTCAGGTCTTCCTGACTCCAGTGCTCTATCCATTGTGTCACCTAGCTGTCCCTTAAATTCTATTTCTTTGTTAATCCAGTTGCCTGGTGATTTCTATTTACCAGCAGCAATGTCAATGTCACCCTAAAGATACAAGCATAGCAGTAACTGGGTAGAGGAACTGAGGCTTTGTCTCCAGGTTCTAAATTTAGAGGGTGCTCTAAATTTGTAACTCTTTATCAGCATAGAAACCACAGAACTTAATACCTAGTTAGCTGAGGTGAATTCACTCTATTTTTCAGTGTCATTCCCCCCCTCAACTGAAGACCTATTTTGTGCCACTTGTCCCAGATGCCAAAATCCTTAGTTATGTCTATGGGTACAGTTTAAATCTGTTCTATAATGAGTTGTTCAGAGATCTAGAAGAAAGAGAGTAAATTGCATGAATTTCAGCCTTTCTTAGGTGAATTTCTACTTTTTTTTTTCCAGAATACAGATAGCAAGAAAAGAAGTAGACATCCCTAGAACTAGATATTTAAAAATCCTTCCAAATGAGAAATAGTTTCACCATCTTTCAATCATCTTTCAACTAACTGACATGCTTTACTTAGAGCATTAGCTAGGGGTTCCACATATCACAATACCAGTTTTAAGATATAGGATCAACATCATTAATCCTCTGACTTTATCCTGCCCAGCCTCCTCTCTAGTTAAGTGCTAACACATGCTTTCCAGCTCCAGGAACAGACAGTTTACAGAGTAGAATTAGATGCCGAATTAAATTGCTTGCACACAGAAGAAAGAGTAGGGGAGACAACATGATTTTACTGGCCATCATACAGGATCAATCTAGGGCTTGAGTTTCCACTCACCCTATTAAGATTCATGGGGCCCAGCACTGATTTCATTATGGAGAGAGGCACATTTAGACCAATAATACATAGAATGGGGAAAATGTAACTCTATGAAAATTGTTGTTCAACTTGGGGAATTCACAGCCCTTGGAGATCACTGAGTGAAATACCATGGCTCATTTTAGAAAGAAAAGCTGGGTAATTTAATGACTACTAATGACATCTGTAGCTTTGCAAGCTACTATAATAAGAGTAATCAAATCTTATGCTTCAGGGTGTTACATGATCACCTGTGCATTTCAAGAAGGAATGTGTGTACAGAGGGATAGCAATGCACAGCTGGCTAAGTACACTATTGGCAAGGAAGGAAAAAGGGCAGAGGATTGCTTTTCCCAGAATCATTCAATGGTGGCTGCAGTTGGTAAACTCTTCAAATATATAGCAGTTAGGATGACCTTAGAACCTCACTAAGGAAAAAAAAAATACCAGGAAACAAAACTCCAAAACAAAAACAAAAAAACCACACTCACATATGTGTCCAAGCATGCACACAAATGCATGCACACACATATGCTCACACACACACACACACACACACACACACATACACTCACACATAAAATCCTAAAGTGTTGCTAGGAAACTTATACCTCAGCTACTGGAATCAATAAACACTAACCATAGGTGTGCTGTCTTTGATGGGAGTTTGAGGTCAGAGCATAGAATGTGATAACCTTTTAGTATTTTTTTTATCTTGATGATCTGAAATACAAAGGGGGCTAAAGGCAAGAGAGGAAGAAAGAAAAGGAGAAAAAATTGAATGTATCAGATTTTGAAAGGTCTGGGTCAGATCAGCAAACCACCTAACCAATGAACTGATGACTATCTTATCCCAAGGATATGGACTGTTTATGAAGTTATTTGACCTTCACGTATCCTTCCTCCCCAGGTTCAGAGGGACTTTTGTTCTTCAAAGTTTTCCTTAGTGACTTCTTGTTTATATTTATTAGGTTAGTTGGACTAATCAGTGTGTACATAGTCATGTTAGAAACTGGAAATGTTTTGTAGATTTGGTCTGGAAGGATAAAAAGTGCATTTATCCAACTTCTGTAAAAAAAAAATGTCCTGGTGGCATCATGAGCAGGGATTTATCCTACTGTGGTACATACAGTTCTTTGAAATTACAGCCAAGTTGCAAAGACAGAAACAACAACAACAACAGCTTTTCATATGGTATCTCTGTGTTCTTACTCCTGGTCCAATACACCATGTGTATAAAACTCAAAATCAAACGAATTCCCCTCATAAAAGCTTTGGTTAGAAATGAAAAATAGTAGTGATAACAATGAGAGAGCAAGTGGTCTTTTTTGTTTATTTTTTGTTTTTATCCCCGGAATGCTGCTAACTGCATCACCAGGTTGAAAAAGAAGATGTTGGGGTGGAAAGGAACATTACATTCTGTACCGTTTAGTAGCTAAGTGGGGCAGGGGATAGAGCTCTAGCCTTGGAGTTAGGAAGATCAGAGTTTAAATCCCACCTCTGATACATCTCAGCCCTAGCAACTTGGTCAAGAAACACAGAATCTCAGCACCCCAGAAAACTCTCTTATGACTACAGTCTGTACTAGTACAGAAAGTTTCCTCATGGGGAATTGCCTATATCAATGAAATCAGAAATCTAGTTTTAGAAAAAATATAACCATTTAACTATCTTCTGTTAAATAAACTATTTCTGTTCTCTAATTTTCCTTAAAAAATAAACAAACAAACAAACAAACAAAATCATATAGGCAGTGTCCTGTACTGGAGAGAGGACCAAACTAAAAGGTTGGGTATTAAAAGATACTCATGAGGAAATGGGAAAGAGGGATCACATTTACCTTTTTTGCCCTCAAAGACTGGAATTAGAAACAATCAGTGAAAATTACAGAGGCCAATTTAGATGATGTAAGAAGGTAAAAAGCTCCCTAACATTTAGAGCTACCCAAAAGTAACATGGACTTCCCCTCATTAGATCATCATTCATCAGATTCTTGATAAGTATGAGTTATGCAAGATGGCCTCTGAGGTCCCTTCGAACTATGAAATTCTGTGATTCTGTAATTTGGTTTGGAGATCTTGATTGTAGCTCTTGACATTTCCAGAAATAACTGTTTTATCCTAGATATTAATAATAATAAAGAAGACGATGATGGTGCTAAGGTTTGTGGTATGCTTTACACATATTATCTTAGGCAACAAGGTGGCACAGTAGATAGAGCACTGGACCAGGAAGACCTAAGTTCAAACCCCACTTCAGACATTTATTAACTCTATGATCCTAGACAAATCACTTAACCTCTGTCTGCCTCAATTTCCTCATCTGTAAAATGGGGAAAATAATAGGACCTACTCCCGTGGGTTGTTGGGAAGACAAAAGTAAATATTTGTAAAACCCTTTGCACACTTTAAAGCACTATATA